TACCATAAACACATTTCACGGTTCAGGGCGACCATCCATGTTTGACAGCAGCACAGGTCATCGTCAATTTTCGTCAAATCACATAGAAAAGAAAGGGGAAACACAATGTTAGATGTTGCTTTGTCTTGTACGACATTAGAATGGATTGCGTGTAAACACGCGCTAAAACAAACGATATATATGTATATATGTTGTTAGAACTTTGTCACAAATGTATGCCGTATTTTTCGACATTAATTCACCTTATACAACCAAGCAAATGCCCAACATATAAATCAACGACGGTAATTACCATCGATATCACAGCACCTGTCAGAGTCGATTATAAGAACAAGAATAATAATCCCATATCAGTCTTGATACGCAAAATATGTGGATCGCATTTCTCTTCTTAAAACAGTTTCATTCTTTCCGTAAACCATTCTGATTAAATTTTAGGAGTTGTTTAATCAGTTGTAACTTCAGAATTATAATTCAGAGACAATTCTAAAAATGTACTCCCACCTAAAGTAAATGAACAACATATTGTTCAATGTTATTTTGTTCCAGTGTTTTAGTTCACGAGCAGGTAGCAGATTATATAAATATTATTATTAATAAGAATTTTAGATATGGAAGACATTTTTGTATATACCGTCAATGACTTCTTCATTATATTATCGTAGCTTATATGTGCTTAATATATTCATAAAATCCTACAGGAATAATAGTTTCGTTTTATATATAGAAACATATTTCAAACTAGACGTATATTTGTTAGTTTATGTAACTCCATAGTTTATGTAACTATGGAGTAAAGCATTAATGGAATTTTATACATGTCTGCAGATTAAGTATCGATGGCAGCAGCAAAGAGGCGTGATCAAGGACTCTAAGCAAGCTCTACAGAATACTTATTCCACAGAATTCTACACATCTTTCTATAAATGTGTAAATGATGAATTGCAAAATAGTATGTAAAGAAACATCTGTCACAAAAGTAATGTTAAGAACATCCCCCAGATTTCTCATATAAAAGAAAAATCACTTGCTCATCTGTATAGATTGCATATTGCTCCATTCAGAAACTATTGTTCTATTTGTAGATAAATTCTATTATCTAAACAAAATTGTATTTTCAAATATAGTAAAAATATTTTCTGAACAGAGCTAATTATGTTTGAATACTATTTGGTATTGTTGGGCATTTCTTGGTCAATAAATGTCAAATTGTTACTATGGAACTAGAATTACGTAATTACTGGTGGAGGTTAGAAATATTAAATAGTAAGCTGAACCATTTATGAAAATTATAAATTTTTCATGGAAATATGTATGTTAGTTCCATAGTAATTAACACACCTAATCCTTAACTCAGCTAGAGAAAATAGAGTACAGAGTCTCTTGTTTGCAAGCATATGGAGAGACCAATGTGGCAAAATATTAATATAGTTTTAGTTAGAATTGTAGCATCTACAAATGCGCAGAGTATAACCTAGAGAATAATGTAACATGTTTAAATATATTTCGTCGCTTAGGGAGTATTTAAATCCATTATCGAAGCTCGTACTACGTATTAAAAGAATTTTAAATATTCACTTTTATGTACACATCTAAATTCGTGGTCCAAAATAAAAATTTGTTCTACGACCAGAGAAATTTGAAGCATTTGTACATTAGTAACGCGTACAACGGTATATGCAATTTTTAAAAGTTCTCTTCAAGGAGATAACTGTCTTTCATTTGCGATATTCCTAGAAAAACAATTCAAATAGATGGCGGATCGATCGGTCAAATTAAATTAACCTATCTATACAGTTTTCAATATATTAAGTCATTATGAAATTTGTAAATGCTCTGGTATTTGTAAATACCATTCTGTGTAGCACTATGAGTTTATATACAACGCAGACCAACTAATTGTCTTTAATTTTCG